AGCATAGGAAAAAAATATCTGAGTTGTTTTGGTGCATATTGACAGTTTTTGCTTGCCAACTCTTCAATAGCTCATCTCCTCAATGACCCTCAATGTGCTTTCTTCCCACTACGGGAAGGCTCTTAGATGTCACCTAGCCCAAATCCCACTCCCATTTCATGGATGAAGACTGAGGCTCAAAGAAAGAAGATGACTTCTTTGAGGTTATGTATAACATAGTTGTTGTGGAACCAGAACCTAGTTCTACCAATCCCTATCCATACTTTCTCCTCTGCACCAAAGTACTTCCATGACAAAGAGACATTCATCAACACACTATTCATTCCCATATCTGGAGTCTCCATCCAAATAATCTTGCTCAGGTTCAGCCAAAGAATTAAGCCCTATATCCTAAGACATCTATTACATTGTATGTAATGACTTCATCTCTCTCTGTCCCTAGGAAGAGAGGTAATAGCTATGTACCATCCTTGGGAAAATTGGGGAAAATAGTCACTCAAACGATCTTCTGTGGGATTTGATTCTCTTGTAAAACCCAAACTGAAAGAAGATACTAGAGTTCAGCCCTTTTGAATGATTGCAACTCCTCAGGCCAAAGAGTCCTTCACATGACCGACTGAAGTCTCTGCTGCTTTAATAAATGGCATCTCCCTTTGTTCAGTCTCCTGAAACACAGAGAATTTATTAGCATGTCTCTCATAAAAAGCTCGCATAGCAGGAAATTAAATTCATCTGGTATAATCAGCTGTTCTGAAAGCTTTGCTGGTTTCTCTGCTTACTTTATGGTTGCCAAGGTGATTTCAAACTGATCGGTTCGATGACTTGTTCTAGGATCATTGCAGGTATTGATGTTAAGGTTAGTCATCGACAAACCCAAGGATGAATAATAGAGGCCTGCCATGATGGTAAAGGAGACTTGAGGCCCGAGGGAAAAAGAAATATTTAACCTTAAGAGGAGAGAACTCAGGACTCTAAGGAATTCTCTCAAAAGTTTAAGGGCAGTCTTGGGGAAGAGAAAGACTTGTTCTGAATGGCCTCAAGGGGGCAGACTTAAGATCTCTCAGTAGAGACTGAGAAGATGAATTTTAGTTCAATATCTGAATAGTTGGAGAAATGTACACAAGAGCTGGTGAGCTTGCCTTCACTAGAGATGGCTAAGAGTTTTGGTGCGAGCATTTTGTAAGGAGCTGACTAAACTATAAGATGCTCCATTCAAAAATCGCTAACGTTTCTTTCAGCCGTAAAACTCAAAGATAATGGTAATTTTCATTACCATCCTTCTTTCTAAAGAACCAAGTTGTGTTGCCTTTTTCACAGCAGTTCAAAATTAAAATATTTTTCTCATTACCCATGTTCAAGAGGTCCTTTTACAATATGATCCGAAAAGACAAATATGCATTCTATACATACATTTTGATTCAAAAGTAGTAACAATAACAGCTATCTCTTTTCCAAGGCATCATGCTAAGCACTTTGCATGCATTTAATATCATTTAATGTAAATGTAATGAGATGATATTGTACAGAAATAATATTAAAGACAGACATTTAAGACCATCATTTAGAAAGAAATCTACAGATGTTTCTCTGCTCAGGGGATCATGAAGATGGAAGGAATCTTGTCTAAACCAAGACCAGGACAAGATTGTCCTAAGCCATCAGCTATTGGTGTGAGGGCATTCCCTGGCAACCACAGAGCCTTATTCCTATTCAAACATTCATTCGGTAAATCAAAATGTGTGTATGTGTGTGTGTGTGTGTGTGTGTGTGTGTGGTTTTATTTTTCTTTATTTTTCTTTTTTTCTGTTTGGCAGGCAGGAAACAACAAATCAGTGTCTTAAGGGATTGACAAAATATGTAATTAGACACTATCAATCACCATAAGAGCTTGACTTTTCTATCAGATAAAGGTGTATTTAGTCTACCAAGATCTTTCCAGTTCAACTGAAGCATTAACTCTCTAAGGCCACAAGTCCAGTAAGCAGTGCCAGCCAAGCTCTTCCACTGGGAAATCAAAGGACAGCACTGGGCGGTGAACACGTATGAGGCCAGAAGCAGACTTAGACTCCTAATCTTCTCTGCCGCCTTCGACTGGACGCTTCTTATTTCTGTACTTCAGTTTCCTCATTTGCAAACTGGAGTCTTGGAAGGGGGTGATAAGCTAGGCAATCTTTTAAACTCATTTCCATTCTAACTTTTTCTAATTCTATAATTCTAAAAGGAGGTCAGGAGAAGACTCTTGGCATGAAGACAACATGTTAAAATTCCTACCAGCTTGGTGAAAGAAGAAAGAGGGAGAGAGAAGAGAGAGAGACAGACAGACAGAGAGACGAGAGAGAGAGAGTCATCCATTTGTCAAGGCTGGTGGGCAAAGACCTGGAGCATCCTTGTTGACATAAGCAGACTCTCTCTCGTTTTAGTATTTGTGGTTTTTTTAAAAAAGGTGTTTCCCCAAATATTCAAAGTTAAAATTTTAAGTGACTTATGTGTATATCTAGATGATCAAATAGTTTGTCCTAAACAGACTTCCCTTGTTCTTTTTGTTGCTGTTGTTGTTATGGGAAGGTTAAACAATATACTTATTTATTCCATAGCTTCACAAACAGGAAGGAACTCTTAAATGACTTAGTTCCACAATTCGGGGCAGATGTATATTTAAAGAAATGTTGTTGCATAACAGACACTGCCTCTTCCTAAAATGCATCATACCAGAGCCAATTTTGGAAAACATAAATATAGGGTGGGTATATTTTGAAAACTATGTGAACATAATAGATCCTTAATTAATATTTGTGGCTTTCACGGGAAATATTTGTTTTTTAAGGCATCTGTCTTGCAAAAAAAAAAACAAACACATTTCCACTAGTGTGAAGGAAATTAAAGGAGGCATGTAGGTTAAATTTTGTTTCTGAGCTTTGCCTTTAGAGTAAAAGTCAAAGTTATTTTTGTCCTGAAGTATTTTATTGTTCTATTAGAGCAGACTAACAACATATTCTAAACTACTAAGTAACTTACATAAATTTCATTTATAATCTACTCTTGTGTGGCATTTCTATGTGCAAAAGCACTTTCACATTATTATTGTATCATTTGATTCTCACTCAGCCCACTTTATTCCCCATTTAGAGACGGAGGAAATTAGGCTCCATCTTTTTGATTTGTCTTAGATGGAAGGATCTGACTCCTGGCTTTCCAATTTCAGTTGTAGAGCTTCTTCCCTTTGCTCCATCCCTTTCTGCATATGATTGCTTCTCCGCCTTTTGGCTAAGATCAAGTGTAATATCTGTCCTTTCTGCATATGATGACACAGTACGTTGAAAGGATTAAAAAATGGGCTTTTGACTCAGGCAGACCTGGGTTCATCTCCTGCTTCTGACACTGCCTGGCCCTGTGTCCCTGGGCAAGCTATATTCCTCTTCGAGTCTCATTTGTGAATTAAGCTAAAAATAGTACCTCCCCTCCCCCACCACCATGGGACTGTGGGATTAAATGGAATAATGCATGAAAAGCACATAGCAGAATGTTCCATAAATGTTAGCCATTGTTAAGTTATTATGTAATCTACAAAATATGTTGGTTACGCTGCATGAAATACTTTCAGTTTTTCAAAGATACTACTAATACATGTGAAATCGAACCCTGAAATTTAATTTATTTTTAATTGTAAAGTCACATGCTAGATTCGAAAGATAGTATTTCATAGAGAAAGACCCTAGTTTGAATGCCCGTTTTAATTTTTTTTTTTAAAGAGAAATTATCTTTTGCTTTCTGTGGCTTCAAACTTCCTTAATGTTAACATTTGTAATAATCCGAGCCATATGAAATTGCCATTTTTTAAAGTCATAAACAACAGAACTTCGGTGATTTGAAGTGCCTCAGCCCAACAGATCGACAAACCTCCCAGCAGATGAAAGAAAGGATTTTTCTAGTTTCAATGAGATTACTGAAAAAGTTGAGATTGGAAGGAAAATTATTCCATTTTCAATGCATATTTTTCCGCAACAGATAATGAGAGAGTGATGCCTCCCAAGAATTAAAAATTAAAGCATACAACTTTTCTCTGTCCCAAAACCCACACATGCATACATAGTCCAGCTCCAAATGAAACCTAAAGGGTGAAATTGTGTCTCAATGTCTGCAAATTTCCAAGGAGGGCACCGAAAGTACTTGACAGCGAGCGCTGAGGAAATCGCAGCTGTTGAAGTCACCTCCTGTGGTCTTGCCAAATGTTTGAAAGGGAATATGCCTGCGCGCGAGCGCGTGTGTGTGTGTGTGTGTATGTGTGTGCGTGTGTGTTGGGGTGGGGGTGGAGGTCGGAGGTCGGGGTGCATCGGTATGGGATTTGGAGTACCTGGGTGGGGCACTCTGCTTGCCTCCAAGGGAGCGTTTGTGTTGTTTACTTCTTTGTGTGCCCATGCCTTTCTGCTTCTGGGTGCTTCTGCGTTTCTGGCCGCGTCTCTGTGTTGGACAGAGGTGACTTTTCGCCTGTCGGCTCCGGTGTGCGCGCGAGTGAGGGTGCTTGTCGGTGCGCTGGACGGGCGTGTCTCAGTGCCGTGGCTGTGGTTCCTTATAAGCCTGAGCATGTCTGTCGGGGTGTATGTGTGCCTGCCCGTGCGTGTCTCCTTGGCCACTCGTCTCTGTTTCCGAATGCGAGGGAGTGCCCGTGTGCTGCCCCTCTGCCCTGAGACCTCAGGACACACAGACGCCCAAGGCGGACAGGTAGCAGCCACAGAAGAACCCAAAGCTCCCAATTGGGCTGGTAAGCACGCCAGCCCCGGCTCCAGCCCTCCAGGACCAGCCAGGGGAGCCGGGAGGGGTGGTGTCTTGCCGCCGTGAGCAGCTGGGCCGCGTTCGGGCCAGCCCCAGGAGGGGGCGGGAGAGGGGAGGGGAGGGGCGGAAAGGGGAGGAGGCCCCGCCCCTTTGGGGCTGCCGGTGCGCCATTGGCGGAAAGTTCCCGCACGTCACCGGGGAGGCAGTTCCTCTAAAGTCCTGCTCACATAACGGGCAGCGCGCACTCCGAGGCGGCTGCTCTAGGTCGCGGGCTGGGACCGACAGGCTCCGCGAGCCCAGAGCACCCCGCAAGCTGTGTGCAGGACGCGCCCCCACCACACCCACCTCACGGCCGCTGGATGAGGCTTCCAGGCGTCCCCTCACTGCCCGCACTGCCCTGCCGGAGGTCCGCCCTCTGAGGCGCGGCCAGTGCGCCGGCAGCCAGTGCGCTCACCTGCCAGACTGCGCGCCATGGGACAACCCGGGAATCGCACCGTCTTCTTGCTGGCGCCCAACGGAAGCTATGCCCCGGACCAAGACGTCACGCAGGAACGGGACGAGGCGTGGGTGGTGGGCATGGGCATCGTCATGTCGCTCATCGTCCTGGCCATCGTGTTTGGAAACGTGCTAGTCATCACAGCCATCGCCAAGTTCGAGCGTCTGCAGACGGTCACCAACTACTTTATCACCTCCCTGGCCTGTGCTGACCTGGTCATGGGCCTGGCGGTGGTGCCCTTTGGGGCCAGCCATATCCTCATGAAAATGTGGTCTTTTGGCAATTTCTGGTGCGAGTTTTGGACTTCCATTGACGTGCTGTGCGTCACGGCCAGCATCGAGACCCTGTGCGTGATTGCAGTGGATCGCTACTTTGCCATCACATCACCTTTCAAGTACCAGAGCCTGCTGACCAAGAATAAGGCCCGGGTGGTCATTTTGATGGTGTGGATCGTGTCAGGCCTTACCTCCTTCTTGCCCATCCAGATGCACTGGTACCGGGCCACCCACCCAAAAGCCATCAAGTGCTATGCCAAGGAGACCTGCTGTGACTTCTTCACGAACCAAGCTTATGCCATTGCCTCTTCCATCGTGTCCTTCTATCTGCCCCTGGTGGTCATGGTCTTCGTCTACTCCAGGGTCTTCCAGGTTGCCAAAAGACAACTCCAGAAGATCGACAAATCTGAGGGCCGCTTCCATGCCCAGAACCTCAGCCAAATGGAGCAGGATGGGAGGAGTGGGCATGGACATCGTAGGTCCTCCAAGTTCTGCTTGAAGGAACACAAAGCCCTCAAGACTTTGGGCATCATCATGGGCACGTTCACCCTGTGCTGGCTGCCCTTCTTCATTGTCAACATTGTGCATGTGATCCAGGATAACCTCATCCCTAAGGAAGTTTACATCCTCCTAAACTGGGTGGGCTATGTCAACTCTGCCTTCAATCCCCTTATCTACTGTCGGAGCCCGGATTTCAGGATTGCCTTCCAGGAGCTGCTGTGCCTGCGCAGGGCTTCTCTGAAGGCCTATGGGAATGGCTACTCCAACAGCAATGACAGATCTGACTACGCAGGGGAGCAGAGTGGATATCACCTGGGGCAGGAGAAAGACAGCAAACTGCTGTGTGAGGATGCCCCAGGCACAGAAGACTTTGTGAACTGTCAAGGTACTGTGCCTATTGATAGCGTTGATTCACAAGGGAGGAATTGTAGTACAAATGACTCACTGCTCTAATGCGGTTTTTCTACTTTTTAAGAATCCCTCCCCCCCAACAAAACACTAAACAGACTATTTAACTTGAGTGTAATAAATTTAGAATAAAATTGTATAGAGATGTGCAGGAGGAAGGATAGCCTTCTGCTTTTCTTTTTTATTATTATTATTTTTCTAAGCTGTAAAAAAGAGAAAACGTAATTGAGTGATTGTTTCTTGTACAGTTCAGTTCCTCTTTGCATGGAACTTGTAAGTTTATGTCTGAAGGGCTTCAGTCCCAGAGGACCTGGGGCTGCTATGTTTCGATGACTTTTCTGACTATCTACCTCATTGGTCGAGTATTAGGGGTAATATATTGCTGCTGGCAATTTGTATCTGAAGGAAACCTTCCTTCCTGCACCCTTGGCCTGGAGGACCCGGAGTCTTGTGGACCTTGCAGCTGTGAACATGGACTCTCCCCGCTCCTCTTATTTGCTGAAACAGGGTGTTGTAGGCAGGGATTTCAGGGGGAGCTTCAGTTGTTTTCCTGAGCAAAGTCTAAAGTTTACAGTAAATAAATTGTTTGACCATGACTTCATTGCACCTGTTTCTCCAAACCCCCTTGACTGGAGTGTGGTTGCCTCCCCCATGGGAAACCACAGGTAAACTGTGTGTAATAAGTGCACAGTGAGTTCCTGTGGGATGGCACAGGAATGACATGCCCTTTCATTGTTTAACCCTTTCATTTGCCTTTGAATCTGCCATTGCCAACCCGTACCTCTCCTAACACTAGGGCCCAGATCAGATCTGCCGGCTCCCAGCCTAGTTCGTCTCGCTGGTCTTACGGTGATTATTCTGCGTTGTTACATCAGAAACACTGACTCATAGAAATGGAGTTATGAGCATCTATTGTGTCCCTCTGTACTCCCCCACCACCCACCTTCCAGTTCTACTTGCTTAATAACTGCTTATATTTATGTCTCTGCTGTATCTTATAGTGGAGAGCTTCGTGCTGCCTCAGGGTTTGGCATTTGAAGGGTAAGGAAGATGTTTTCGTGAAAAAACTGCTAAACTCTGCCCCATAATTCCAAGGGAAACTGAAAAGGCATCGGTCAGAGAGAGAAAAGCTGGAAAACACTTAACCGATGAACCTAGACATAGTATTTTAACCCCACCCTCCTTCTTTACTTCTGTTCCTTTTCCCCCTCTTCCTGTGACTCTGCACTGTTATTTGGTCCAGATAACCCTCTGTGGTGGAAGGCTGGCCTGTGCACTGTCCAATGTTCTGCAGCATCTTTGGATTCTACCCCTTCCATGCCAATAGCACCCCCTGAGTGGTGACAACCAAAATTGTCTCCAGATATTGCCAAATACCTTTTGGGAGGTGAAATTGCCCCTGCTTGAGAACCACAGATACAATTCAAAAGTCCTAACAGATTTTTAGACTCTGTCTAATGTAAGCACTTTATCTTGCACAGTCTCCAAGAGGGATTTTTCATGGTTCGCCCGGTTAATGACAGAGCCTGGGCCGGCGTTCCTTCCACTCTATCCTGCTACCTTCTGAACTTACTTTCCAGCTGCCCAGAAACTGGCAGTGAGACGTGAATTGTTTGGGAGGGTTTATCAATGGAGGCTAGGCCTGGGAGCCGTTACTGCCTGTTTGTGGAGATTTGATAATGCTACTAAGAGGTGCATGAGGGAAAATCACAAAAGTAAACACATTTCTTCTCCCACCCCTTTTCTATTTTTGCCTATGTGTCTGAGCCAGAGCTTGGCCCAGGTTTGACTGAGTGGATCGTCCTCCTTGGCAACGGCAGCCTGGAGATCAGCCTGCAGGGTTCATTGCCATTTTACTTGCTCATCAAGCTGACTCCACTTTTCTTTTCCCTTCTGCCCCAGCCAAGGTCCCCAACCAGAAAAGCGCTGGCCTCTTCTGCTTCCTGTCAGCTCAGTGATGGGTGTCTGGGTGAGCACTGAGCTCTCAGGAGAAAGTTAGATGCTCACGACTTTGGAACGTGCCATGGCGAATTGGAGAGTATCTGCCATTCAGCACTCTTCCTTTTTTTTCCCAAGGGTTTTCATACCTGTTATCGCGTTCTCCTTCTTTTGCTCTGAGCCCCACACCCAGAGATGCAGGCAGCTTCTCCAGCTAATCTTCACACTCCTGGTAACCTCACTGGATCTTGAACTTGGGAGAGCCTGTAGGAAGCATTTGACATCGGGAGAGACCAAAAACCCATGAGGGGGAATGACCTGCCCAAGGTAAGAAGCCAAGGATGTTAGAGATGGAGCTACAGCCAGGGAACCGGCTGTCATTCTAGGAACTGGTATATTCTCTCCACCACACGCCCACTGAATTCTGCCCTTACCCTCAACTGTGGAGGCTTTTCTCTGGAGCTGTCACATAACAAATTCATTTCAGTGGATGTTTTTATTGCTTTGGGGTTCTTAAGAGAAAATTCAGGCAATAAATAATCTTCCATAGGGACAAAAGAAGGAATTGTTCTCTTACTCAGCAAGAGTCCACTAGCATCCTCTCAGCGTTTAGGGAAGCTGGGCGGTTCCTTAACTCTTTATGACCCATCAGGAATTTCAAGCCACTTTAGGTAGAAATTGTCCATAGTTTCAT